ACGATCTTTGATACAAATTGCACAGAACAACAGTTGTTACTACGAATCACAGATCTATTGAAACTTTCTTGGATTATCGTTTATCCTAGGATACAAATAGAGTTTAGCTAAAGCATGTTCGAGAAACCAGCTTGTCATAAGTCATTTAGCCAACCGGATCTCTATCGTTCTCAAATACTTAGGAAAAATCTATAGCCAATACTACCATAATAGCAACAAAGACACAACATATTTTAATTCCACAAGAAAACATGTCAAAAAATCAGCACTACGAACAAAATTAACGCTCCATTAAGCATTGGAGAGTGAGTTCAGCGGAAAGGGCAGAAAGTGTAAAATTTCTTTCCTATCGATACGAAAAAATCATTCAGAAGAATCTTGTGTTTCATCGAGGAAAGGTTGAGTTTAAAAAAAGGTGTGCATACAAGCCTCATTTAGAATTCCAAGAACGAAATAGTTAAGAAACTTGAGTAACTTACTGGATAAAGTGTGAAAATAAAAACAGGGGAGAAACGAAAAAATTATGGTAAGTTTTCTGGTTTCCTGAATTGATCCAAAATTCTACTGATAATTTTTAAAATAAAAGTTTCCAATCAATTGCGCGAGGAAAATAATAAAATGTTCGATTCCTGCATGCGTGCTATTGTGCTATGTATATCTAAAATAAAATAATTTTCTTCTTTTTCATTTCCTTTAATTTCAGTTCAAATTTATTACCTCGATTCTAGTCCTTGTTCTCGTGTTCTTCTGTTGCTACACTCAAGTGCTCAGTGCGAAAGAGAATAAAAATTTATTGGGTAATCGAAATCAACTTAAATAATGCTCTTCGCATCTTGCAAATATCATCCGATACAAGCTTACTTTCGTTTTCTTTAACATTTTTGCGCAATTTTATGACTGAATGGGAATTGGAATAGCTTTTTTGAGTTCTGTCTGTCTGTTTTTTCATTGAGGTTTGGATGAAAATTTTGGTGATTTAAGTGACAATGCTGATATTGTAAGTTCTTTGCATATTGTCGAAGATTGAGTCAGAAGTATGATTAGATTATTATCTGGTTTATAGGTTTGCATTGGGATACCGAAATTGAGAATCTAGAATCTTTTTGGTGAAAGCTTTATTCTAGATTTTTGTTGATTTCTGAGAAACTGGTTTTCCTGGAATATTTTCTATAACTCTAGTCCTAATCTGATCAAAATTCAAGATTCGAATAATATGAACGCGATTCCATTCAGCCCACAAAAACTGCGCTGCTTGTATCAATCTTGAAAATCGATTTTTAAACTTACTTTCTAACGTTTTTTATATATATATACATTTCTTGTTTATAGGCTCATCGAAGCGTGTCCAGATGAGAATTTATCGTGGACCGGATAATAATCACAATACTCAATGGGGATTTTTTATACGCCAGCCATCATTTGATTAAAACATATTTTCTTACTTTGTAACACCAGAGCCTAATCTTATTATAAATTGAATTTTTTTCCAGCACTCAAGAACAAAAAGAGAATGTTCACTTCCTTCCTGTAAGTTGAGCATGTAACAATTAATCACGGTTCGACTTTTCCAACATTCTTTCTTTAAAATAACAATTAAGGGGATTGTTCTTGAGTGACGTCTAATTTGGAGTTGGTTGCAAGCTTTTTTTGTGACTTGATAATGATCTGAGCAAATTTGCAATCTAGTTTTAAGCTGAATGTCATTCATAAACGACTCCCAAGTATTTTGAAGGGTAAATTTTTTTGATTCTATTTTTCTACTTTGATATTTGTACATTATCATCATTCCTAAATGTCATCAATCATGCATTCAAATAATTTGAATTTCTCATTACTTAACTCACTTCTCAGCGCTTTCAATTCCTTTTCTATCTCATCTTTCCACACATACGCTCATGAAAATGTGAGAATGATGAATGAAGAAAATCCGCTTTTTTGAAATTAGAATTTTTAATGAAATTTTGCTTCTCGTTTTTTGCGATGAACTCGGAAGATGATGACATGAAATTTAAGAAATATATTTCAAATTGTGAAAATAAAAAGAACAGATTTTTTTTAAAAAAAAAAGAAAATGAAGTTTCTATAAAAGGAATGTCATTATTTTTATTTTCAGAGTACTTGAAGATTCCATTGGAATCATAAGTTCTTTCGTCATTTTATTACATTCACACCGTTTTCACGTGTGAATCTATTGGTTTTGTTCAGATTGAAAAATCAGTTTTTCGCATTTTGTGAGAAAACAAAGCAAAATTGGTTATAAAAGGTCAAGAAGAAAAGTTTGTGCCTGAAATTTTACATCATTTTCAAAAAACAGATTTCAAATTGGTTGTGGCATTGCTGAGAAAATCGCAAAATACGCTTTCTGTAAGCAAACAAGCAAGCAAGCAAGCAAGCAAGTTAATCAGCAAGAAATCTCAATAACGAGACATCGTAGAGACTTCTAGTTTTTTAAATTTGATCCGTGCTGCTCTATAGAAGAGCTGTATTGTTTTTGGGCAAGGTAGGAACAGCCGTTGCTTCAGAAATGGCAAAAAACTTTCCTTTCTTACGAATTTTTTAAAACAAAAGTTGACTGTGATTTTTTTCAGCTGACACTCTAGCTTTATATCTTCAAACTTATGCTGAGCGTAGCTCAGCTTACGCGATAGCTTTATAACTTCAAACTTATGCTGAGCGAAGCTTAGTTGACTTATCAAGCTTCATACCTTCATACTTATGATGGCCAAATCTTGGTCTATCCATAAGACTTATGATAGTACGGTGTGAATATAATCCGCATTGGGTTTCTACCCGATACACTAGTTTTTTGATTGTATTTATTGAAAGTTGTGCTCTAGTTGACGTTTGAGTCTAGACAAATGTGAATTCATTCTTTTTAAAAAAAAGTTGATTCTGATCAATTTATAGAATGATTAATTTTCGCAAAAATCTTTTGAAAACAATTTTTTATCCAAGAAGTGAGTCACATTCAAATGAATCAATCCTTGCTTTGAAACCAAGATAAATGACTATTGACCTTTTTGATAAGTATTGATCCTTTTGATAATTATTGATCATATTGAACATTCTTTATAATTTTGATCAGTATCACATTCTTGACTAAATCATTGAATGAATCTAAAATTTTTGTATCTTTATATCATTGAGTCTTTAAGGTTATTATTGCTAGATGTTCAAAATTCAAAGTTTTTATCTAGTTTTAAAAACTCCTAAAATCTACAAATCCATAAAAATGCTCTAATACTAATGCTCCTGTCAATAATTGAATCGGATTCATGGTAAGTTTTCATTTTTCAACATCACCCACTCAATATTTACAGAAACTCTGTGCAATAATAAAAATGCAATACTCGTCGATACACACTAATAAAAAAGTGTATCAGACAAGAAATAAGAATTATAGATTGAAAAGATATTAAACGAAATTGGTAAGATGCTATAAAGATAAAATAAAAGAACAAAGAAAGAAATTGTTTATTTGTAAGACAATTTTGTGGATGAAAAATTGAACGGAAGTTAAAATGCTCTCAATTGAAGCAGACATGCTATTCTTATTATAAATCATTTTATCTTAGAAGCAAATGGAATTCTTTATGTTGTTGTGAAAAACTATATCAAACTTATGAAATATTTATTGATTTATCTAGTAAAGAAATTTAATAAGTTTTCAGATAAAAATAAAACCACTTGAGACGAAGTTAATTTTAAAGCATCGAATCTTAATTTGAGTTCAATTTTTTTTTTATAAATTCCATAAGGTTTTTAGTCATCTTTAATTTTAATTTAATCTTAGAAAAAAATTCAAAGAACAAAAAAATCATGCACAGCAACTCAATATTGGATTTCTTCATGCTCTTACAAACATATGTGAAGATACGTTAATAATCTCTACTGTGGTCATGCTGGCACGTTACATAATCATTTTTCACTTTAGAAATAATAAAACGTTTTAATCCTTGAAAAAATATGTAACTTAGAACTATATCTTTTAAAGTATAAGAATTTTCTGGATGCATTTAAAAAACTTCAATTCTTCTTGAAATTTTTTAAGTGCATAATGTTCCTTTTTGACCAATTTTTTACCTCTTACAAAACTTATTCTAATATTGCATCACTTCTTTTTATTTCAATGTCGAGACATAAAACCAGTTTGTACTTTCGATTTTATTCAGTATCACACTATGTTGTATGAATTCACGTTCTGGAGTCACGCCGGTAGAAAGTAATTAATCTAAACTTCTTATTCATCTGCTGTCGCAGTATGCTATTGTACATATTCTTAACAAAAACCTGCTTTGCGTTCGTTCTTCTCTGCGAGATAACAAAAAAAAATTCTGGATGCTTTTTCGGAAGGCTTTTTGTGCTTTTGGGGATATTCACACTTGTAGTTCTACTATGATGATGAACTTACAACTTGGAATGTTAAAGGATTTCAAACTCCTAATTATTATTGATATTAATCAAGCACCAGTCAATTTAAATGTTTATAAGAAAGTTGGTCACGTTTCTGGTTCTAAATGTCCAATTCATTTGTCGATTATAAAGAAAAAAAAATTTATTAAAAGAAGACAATTTGCGTTTACAACGTTTGAAAGAATTTTAAGTTCTTACTTCCAAATATTACAATCAAAAACCGCAGTGTGAATAAAATAAAACATACGAAAAAAACTTTCTTATTATTATTTTGTGATTTAAACAAGAATTATGTCACAAGGTGGCTTTAATCTATCAAGAAGATTTCAGCTTTCTCTTCTTGGTTAACATAATAATCCTTGTTTAATGACTACCCCAAACAGAAAGCAGAAAAAAAGTTGTGATGAAAGTAAAAATTAGATTATTTGCTGTTCCTCACTTTTCGTTACTTAATTAACGAAGTCTGTCTATGTTAATGACTTTTCTCCTTTACATGGTGCGAAGCATCAGGCAAAAGTAAATTTTGCACGCCTTTTTATTATTTACTTTATCTTGCTCTTCTTTAAGCACATTCTTCTTTTTCATGAAATTTTTTTAAGGTATAAAAAGGCACTTGCGGTCTGTGGATTTACATCAGTTGTGTTTAGAAGTCATTAAAAGTCGCTGGACCATTTATTAAAGCATCATGAAGAGAGTAATATTCTTAGTCTGCAGTCTGTTTATCGTTGGAAGCTTAGCCGATGGTGTTCCTGGAAAATGTCCTCAAATTGATACGGTTAAGGACTTTAAACCAGAAAAGGTGAGAATTAAACTTTTAAAACATAGAAAGGAATGAAATTCTTTATTATTTATAGATGGCTGGCAAATGGCATTCAATTTACGAGACAGGAAAGGAATCTTCATGTGTTTGCTATGAATTTGAACCAATTTCACCGAACTTTTTCTTAGGATACTTCTATCATCTTAAACAAACAATTTCTTTAGCTCCAAAGAACACCGAAGACTTCAATGAAGGTTTCGTCGTGTCATCAAAATTCATTCCAGCTATGGATAAAATGAGTATGTTCACATTCGCAACCGATTATGAAAATTATGCTGGCATGTTTACGTGCAAAGAAGTTGGTGATGTTCACTTCCCACATGTTGCATTTTGGTCTCGAGATCATACAATGACAGATGAGAGAATGCTTGAACTTAAGGACATGATGGCAAAATATGAAGGAGTTGATTTATCAGGTTTGAAGGCTGTGAACCATAGTGAATGTGACCATGGAGATAAATAAAGTTCAAAGTGTTGTATTTTTGAATTCAAAATTTTACTTTGGAACTGAAATATTTGATTTTGGAAGTTGAAAAGTTTTGTAATGTCCAATAAAAATTTAATCATCAAACAAACAAGAATTTTAATTTTTATAGCACTTTATCTGAATTCTCGATGATTTAAAAATACTTTTTGAGAGCAAAAAATTCGAGTTGGATGGGACTTAAGGTTTCGCACCAAAAGTTCTTCCTGATGCCTCTACTCTTTCACTAAGAACTTGACACATCTTAGTGAGGGATGACACTAATGGATGGGCATCGAGTTGCATGCTCAAAAGCTATAATGAGTAGAGAATAAGAAGAGATAATAAATCTTCAAAATAAGCATAAGAATGAAGAGCATTAAGTAGATATGTCGGTTCTTTAAGGACGACAATAAAAAATTTCCTTCAACTCTATTTGATTTTGTAAACGCATAAGTTTTTTCATAAAAAGCTTTCTGTGCTGAAAAATGAAGAGGAAAAAACAGAATATCTTGCGGCGACACTTGCCCATTTCATTCTATTCTTATTCAGCCGCAAAAATGAGGACAAAAAATTGTTTATAATTGTTAAATAATCCCTTTTTGATTAATGTCATATAACGTGACAACAACATGCTTCTAAATTAAGGCACAATGAAGCATCGAGTAAAACTGAATGCCACATTGAGGAAATGAATGGAAAAAAACGAAAGAAATGGGTTGAGATTGTCCATGAATAGAGGAATTTCGGCATGAAATCGAGATCACTTTATTAATCGTTTAGCAAGGTAGGAAAAGTTTTAAAATATAAGTTTGGGATTGTTTATATTATTCTGAATTTGGTAAAAGATAAGCGTTGGAGGGTGAGTAGACTTTTTCTATACTAGGTCCTTTTCTTGTCCTATTTAAGTCATATCTTTATTCAATCCTAGTTCTATTCTAGTTCTATTCTAGTTCTATTCTAGTTCTATTCTAGTTCTATTCTAGTTCTATTCTAGTTCTATTCTAGTTCTATTCTAGTTCTATTCTAGTTATATTCTAGTTCTATTCTAGTTCTATTCTCCCGGGTGGACACAGCCAGTTAAAGTCCATTATTGGACAATCATTTAACAGTCTTTTAACTTGTCGAAATATATACGATATAGAGAACTATACGTTAACTAGACTTTAACTGGACATTCATGCTAATCAATCAAGTGTTCGAAACTCAAAAATAATTTTCCTAACTTTTTTGACCATATACTTCACAAGCGCTTACAGAAATCACTTATATAAGGTCCACCAAAATTTGTATGAAACTTTTAAGTAAATATAATTGTTTCACGCGCAAGTGTTCGAGACTCAATTTTTACTAGAGATTTTTCATAAGTGATAGTGTACTTTAATTAATTAATTACACTAATACAATAATAAAATTTTACAAAAGAAAAAAATATGGAGAAAAAGACACGTGTTATTTATTTTATTTCGATTTTTTTGTAACTGGACATTAACTAGACATATTTGCAATTCCTATGTCCAGTTAAATGGAAAGCGCAAAATATGTCATTAGTCGTCCCTAAGTCTAGTTGCAAAGGCACGTCAATGGATACTTTCTCGCCGTGAAAAGGCAAGTCAATGGCAAGCTTTTAACTAGTACTTTGTCCACTCGGGTCTAGTTCTATTCTAGTTCTATTCTAGTTCTATTCTAGTTCTATTCTAGTTCTATTCTAGTTCTATTCTAGTTCTATTCTAGTTCTATTCTAGTTCTATTCTAGTTCTATTCTAGTTCTATTCTAGTTCTATTCTAGTTCTATTCTAGTTCTATTCTAGTTCTATTCTAGTTCTATTCTAGTTCTATTCTAGTTCTATTCTAGTTCTATTCTAGTTCTATTCTAGTTCTATTCTAGTTCTATTCTAGTTCTATTCTAGTTCTATTCTAGTTCTATTCTAGTTCTATTCTAGTTCTATTCTAGTTCTATTCTAGTTCTATTCTAGTTCTATTCTAGTTCTATTCTAGTTCTATTCTAGTTCTATTCTAGTTCTATTCTAGTTCTATTCTAGTTCTATTCTAGTTCTATTCTAGTTCTATTCTAGTTCTATTCTAGTTCTATTCTAGTTCTATTCTAGTTCTATTCTAGTTCTATTCTAGTTCTATTCTAGTTCTATTCTAGTTCTATTCTAGTTCTATTCTAGTTCTATTCTAGTTCTATTCTAGTTCTATTCTAGTTCTATTCTAGTTTTATTCTAGTTCTATTCTAGTTCTATTCTAGTTTTATTCTAGTTCTATTCTAGTTCTATTCTAGTTCTATTCTAATTTTATTCTAGTTCTATTCTAGTTCTATTCTAGTTCTATTCTAGTTCTATTCTAGTTCTATTCTAGTTCTATTCTAGTTTTACTCTAGTTCTATTCTAGTTATATTCTATTTCTATTCTATTTCTATTCTATTTCTATTCTAGTTCTATTCTAGTTCTATTCTAGTTCTATTCTAGTTCTATTCTAGTTCTATTCTAGTTCTATTCTAGTTCTATTCTAGTTCTATTCTAGTTCTATTCTAGTTCTATTCTAGTTCTATTCTAGTTCTATTCTAGTTCTATTCTAGTTCTATTCTAGTTCTATTCTAGTTCTATTCTAGTTCTATTCTAGTTCTATTCTAGTTCTATTCTAGTTCTATTCTAGTTCTATTCTAGTTCTATTCTAGTTCTATTCTAGTTCTATTCTAGTTCTATTCTAGTTCTATTCTAGTTCTATTCTAGTTCTATTCTAGTTCTATGCTAGTTCTATTCTAGTTCTATTCTAGTTCTATTCTAGTTCTATTCTAGTTCTATTCTAGTTCTATTCTAGTTCTATTCTAGTTCTATTCTAGTTCTATTCTAGTTCTATTCTAGTTCTATTCTAGTTCTATTCTAGTTCTATTCTAGTTCTACTCTAGTTCTATTCTAGTTCTATTCTAGTTCTACTCTAGTTCTATTCTAGTTCTATTCTAGTTCTATTCTAGTTCTATTCTAGTTCTATTCTAGTTCTATTCTAGTTCTATTCTAGTTCTATTCTAGTTCTATTCTAGTTCTATTCTAGTTCTATTCTAGTTCTATTCTAGTTCTATTCTAGTTCTATTCTAGTTCTATTCTAGTTCTATTCTAGTTCTATTCTAGTGCTATTCTAGTTCTTTTCTAGTTCTATTCTAGTTCTATTCTAGTTCTATTCTAGTTCTATTCTCGATTTAGTCCAAATCTTGTCATTTTCCTATCCCCATCGATATCCCGGATTCCAGTACGAAAAAAATGTATAGCATCTAAGAAAGTCTACAATTGCTCTTCAACAGAACAGCAAAACCTCAATATAAATCAAATCTTATCATAAAAATCATCTCTTTACCTACCTTAAGATTACAACTTACTCTACCTTGAACTCAATAAATCAAAACATTTTAAAACCTTAAAAAAGGCATAGTAAGAGAAAGGACACTTTGGACTAGCTACCATTAATTAATTTTTTATGCATTTTCCTCATTCCTTTTTCTATTTATGTGTGTGCCTTTTGTGGCATTTTCGGGTCAATTTGTGTTGCCTGCTTTGGGTGAGTGTAAAAGGATGAAAATTTTTCTCTATTTACCATCAGATTCATTCAGTAAATAGCAAATAGTTTAACTCTCCTTTTGTTTGCTTCAAAATAAAATTTTATATTCTTTTGTTGGTATGAATTGTGTTAAAATGAGTAAGTAGCATAAAAGTGGTGGAAGTAGAACAACAAAAAACAACACACAAAAGTCCCTTCAGGGAAGGACAAGATTTTAAAAAATGCTGGGGATGTTTTTGTGTTTGTTTTAATTTATGCTTGCAAAACGCAATTTTCTCATTCATTTAATTTCTCAGTTAATGCTTTGGACAATGAAATTGCTAGGTTTGTGTGTTTTATAAAAGAAAAGTTCCCACAATAATTCATAAGCATATGAATCGTACTCTTAAGCTTTTAAAAAATGTCTGTGTCTACAAACGGCCTACAACATGACAGAAAAATGTGTTGCTTATTTAATGAATTTAAATTAAATTTCGCAGCTAAGCGATGAGCAATTTTCTCGTGATAAAAATTCAATTTAAAATTTAAATTTTTGGGAAATTAAAGAAAATTTTTGAGAAAATTTAAATTTAATCAATGAGAATATTTTCGCAATTTTATTCAATTTTTTGTGGCGTCTTTAAATTTATGAATGGAATATCAATGTGGCTTATCTGATTAAATTTGAAATAACTGAACATCAGCTTTTAACTACGTACTTAGTTTCAATACCGACAAGAAGTCTTGCTATGCCACCAGACTTAGATCATTGCATCATAAACCATGCTTTGCGACTCACTGATTTGTAGTTGAAAATTATTTAAATCACAAATTTTATACAAATTAAAAAGTTTTAAGGACACTTTAAACTTTACTTTAATTTGTTTGGGAAATACTGACTTAAATAAGGAACTTCATAAATGAATGGCCCCCACCGACCCCAAATTTATCTTTTTATTTAATTTTCCAGCTTAAAAATAAACCTTCTATAGTCCTTAACTGCCTGGATGGACTCATAAAAATTCATAAGCATAAAGTATGAATATCAAGTTATTTGTGACACAATTTTGCTTTTTGTTTAGACTTTTAAGCTTCCTGTATATATTAATTTTTGTGTTTATGCCTTAACATTATTCAATTTGAAAAACGTTGGAAAATATGAAAATATTCTCATAAATTATTCATATCATTATTTCTATTTATTTACATCTATTTTGTCAGCAGCTAAAGTTAAGCATTTTCATTGGAAGCTTTGCTGCTGGCTTCACAACAAGGTCGACAATTTGTAAACTTAATTTTCCAAGAATTTATATTTTATGAAAATTGCGATAATGTTAATAAAGATTTTCTACAAAATTAATAATGCTTTTATTGAAGGCACTTGAAATTTAATAAGAGCAGTAGACACAAGTGAGGAGTAGCTATTCCACAGAATGATAAACGGAACTGCTTAGCGACCTGAAAAGTTCAGAAAACATTGTACTGGGGGTCCTCGATTTGAGTAGTTGTTTTGTTCCAAAAAATTTCTACTCAAATCGAATCTATTCAAATCGAGGCAAAGAATCCATACAAAATTACATGTTTT